TCTTCAGAAACATCGGACCCTTCTCGCATGCGCCTGCTAACATGCTTTCTTTTCCCATAGTCTTCTTTACTCTACTCTTTAAAGACTTTCTTGCTCTTAAGGATAATGGAATGGGTTCTACAGATAGCTGGTGAAGAAAATAACTTTTACAGTACAAGTAATGAGTGGATTGAGGTAGCAGTGACATTATGGACTTACAATGTCAAAGTCAGTAAGAACCAATCGGCAAAGGCTCACCAAAAAAGATGATCATGTACACTTAAGCGATCATTTTCTTGAGTGTTTTTCCAGGAGTTTAAGGATAATTTTATTCAGGGTAGTTCGTAAGAGCATCATTCGGTTAGATAAAATCTTTTAAGGTCTAAGAAAATTCGTCGCTTATGTACTCAGCTTTCCAGGCTTTGATGAAACCAAGGCGTCTAGACTTTTGTTCCACTGCTCAAGCTAAATAATTACAAATTCATGTTGATATCATTATTTCATGACAGTCAAAAGCAATGTGTATTGTACTAATAAAGGCTCTAGATACAACGGCACTTTCGAGATTTTAAGAGCTTTTTGCACAGATTGTGCTTACTTTAATTTACTAAAGTATTTTCCTCTTCTTGATCGGCTTAAACTTTCACCAGAGTGCTTATCGTCTCCTATGATGTTTAGCTCTCGTGCTTGTTTGAAAACACTGGTTTACAGATGACGAGCAATGACTAGTGATCCTATCTTCTAATGCTTTATAGCTTCTAACTGGATCTTTTATGATACTACGGCATTATATGACAACGCCCTGTGAGTCACTATTACAACGGGCAACCCGACAGGCGCATACACATTCCACGGGGAGGCCCACGTTCCTTTGCGCTCAATATGGACATAGCACCGTATCCTGCGTAACGCAATTTCTCGAGCACTCACCAGTCCATATAAAAGTGAAGAGGCGGCATCAAGAACTTATCAGGCAATGCCAATAAATCAGCACCAAGTGGTTCTGTTCTTATCTTCCCGCAAACTGTCGGCAATATCTACCCATTTGCCTTTACTGATTTCTTTCACTAGCCTGTTTTTCTTCTTGCGGCTTCATGGAAGTTTGATAACTGAGTAAGGATTCTAATCTTCATTACTAAGCGCTTAATGTTCATTCTTATTCTAGTCCCTAATGTACACATGTTAAGCCATGTTAATCTATCTATTTCAGTACCCCTCTACAAACTATAATGCTTGGCTTCAAAAGCGTTAGACTATATTTTTTTCTCAAATTGCCATTTTTGTATTAATATCATTTGCTTGAATCTCAAAATATTTATGGCATGGTACATATAGCACAAATAATATTTGAAACTTGAAAAAATTTTAAGAATAGGAAGAGGACTCTGACCTATCAATTTTTGCAAAACTAGGAAGGAACCGTAAACAACAAATGGATCAGTGCTTTGAGTCCTCTTAGTGAAATCTGCGACTTTGAATCATCAAACTGTT